GATTTCCTCCTCCGGCCAACAAAATCTGCCAAGAGGAAGCACCGCCAATTCTGTAACTAAACGAGGCCGTCAGTGGCAGCTTCCAGTCGTGGACGGAGGACGGCAATGCGGCAGCTTCCAGTCGTGGCTCCCAGCGCCATTAATGGCGAGCTTTTTCATTCCGTTCTTCCAGCCTTCTTCTCTGCCATGGCCGAACTGGCGCCTCGTCGTGGCCGAGCGGGCAGTGAAGAATTTTCATATTTGGGGTTTGGACACCTTTTGAAAATTAGATGAATCTTATAGATCTAATTACAATTTCAAACACTTATTAATTATTGCAATTAGATTCTTGGCTTCAATCTATAATTTATTTTTAGTTTGAATAACTGTAATATGACCCTTGAGTTTTTATATTATGTAATTAATGCACTGTGCATATTTAAATAATACATAATGCATATTTTCAGTTATAAATGATGTATACTTAATTGAGAATAAGAAATGCATATTTGGTTCATAATTCATATTTAGTTTATTCGTGATACATATTTAGTTCATACAAAATGCACATTTATTTCATTCATAGTGCATATTTGTTGTATTTAAATTAAAATATACATGATGCATATTTAGTTCATTCATGATACATGTTTAGTTCCGAAATGCATATTTAGTTCATCCATAATGCATATTTGTTGTACTTAAATTAATATAAACATGATGATATTTAGTTCATTCATGATGCATATTTAGTTAATACGAGATGCATATCTAGTTCATCCATAGTATATATTTGTTATACTTAAATTTAATATATAATGATGCATATTTAGTTCATTCATGATGCATATTTAGTTAATTTGTGATGCATATTCAGTTAATATGAAACGTTGTTTCTTTTATTTACATTAAACATATAATGGTGTATATTTAATTTAATTCATGATACATATTTAGTTCATGCAAAAGGCATATTTAGTTCACCCATAGTGCATATTTGTTATATTTATATTAAATATATAATGATACATTTTAATTAATTTATGATGCATATTTAGTTAATTAATGATAAATATTTAGTTCAATCGAAATGCATATTTAGTTTATCCATAGTACTTAGTTTGTTATATAAAAGTTAGTTAAAATGTATAATGCTGCATAGTTAGTTAATTTAAGATGTATATTTAGTTAATTCATGATGCATATTTGGTTCATCCACAGTGCATATTATTTATATTTAGATTAAATTATAAAATGATGTATATTTAGTTCATTCATGATGCATAGTTCATTGATGATGTATATTTAGTTAATATGAAATGTATATTTGTTATATTTGAATTAAATATACAATGTTGCATATTTAATTAATTCATGCTGCATAGTTAGTTAATACGAGATGCATATTTAGTTCATCTATAGTACATTTGTTATATTTAAATTAAATATCTAATGATACATATTTAGTTAATTGTGCATATTCCATCCATGGTGCATATTTGTTAAATTTAAATTAAATATATAATGATGCATATTTAGTTCATAGATGATGCATATTTAGTTAATAGGAAATACATATTTAGTTATTCATAGTGCATATTTATTATATTTAAATTAAATATGTATATGTGCATATTTAATTTATTCATGATGCATATTTAGTTCATTGATGATGCATATTTAGTTCATCCATGTTGCATATTTATTATATTTAAGGTAAATATATGCATGTGCATATTTAATTAATTCATGATGCATATTTAATTCATTGATGATGCATATTTATTTCATCCATATTGCATATTTGTTAAGTTTAAATTAAATATATACATGTGTATATTTAGTTCATAGATGATTCATATTTAATTAATACTAAATATGAATCCACAATGCATATTTCTTATATTTAATATAAATATATATATAATGCATATTTAGTTCATTGATAATGCATATTTAGGTAATACGAAATACATATTCAGTTCATCCATAGTGCATATTTATTATAATTAATATAAATATATATACATGATGCATATTTAGTTCATACGAAATGCATATTGGTCACAATATAATTAAATATATACTGATGTATATTTAGTTCGTTCATGAGGCATATTTAAGTCCTTGATGATGCATATTTAGTTTATCCATAATGCATATATATTATATTTAAATCAAATATATACATGTGCATATTTATTCATTCATAATGCATATTTAGTTCATACGAGATACATATTTAGTTCATCCATAGTACATATTTGTTATATGTAAATTAATTATATACATGATGCATATTTAGTTCATAAATTGTGCATACTTGATATTGTTGGTGCATATTTAGTTCATAAGGATTACATATTCAATTCATACCAAAAGCAAATTTAGTTCATATCAAGTCATACTACTTGGTGCATATTTACTTAATACACAACGCATACCATGCTAAAAAATAGTCAACATAAGAAGTCAACGGTCAACGCCATAAGTCAACGATCAATAGTCAAATGGTCGAAATGATATTAAATAATTAAAATAAAAGCATAAAGAATCATTATTTGAATAAAAAGTTAAACTTTGACAACACGTCTTGATACGTAATTAGTGGCTAGGAATGAGTCTCACATACTTATTTTAAGAATGTCTCACTTGAACCAGTCCATATGAGAGTGTGTGTGTGTGTGTGTGTGTGAAAATTTTAAGGTACTCTATTGTGTAGTTCAAATTGGTGTTCCCATTTTAAAAGGCAAATATGTAATTACCTGTAACTTACGGGTCAATATTAACTTGGACGTAAATGAAGTAGTCAATTATTTATAGTTTAGTAAATACTCAACTACTTAAGTTTTTTTGATTTGAATAGTTTATACAAACATAAATTCATTTTAACTAATAAAACAATATAAGTTTTATAGTTATACTTATATTCACATATATTTTTAAATATATGATAATATTTACGAAATTAAATATTTTATAGAATGACATTGTAATCAAATCGAATTTCTAACTAAAAGTTTCAAAAGACACTTATTTTATACGAAATATGATTAGAATGATATTGTAATCAAATCGATTTTCTGAATAAAAATTTCAAAAGACACTTATTTTATACGGAATATGATGATGTAATTTATTATCAGTTACATGCACCGTACGTGTTGTATACTAATTTTAAATAGATATGTTTTATGCTATTTTGCACAATTTAAATGTCATATAACATACTCAACAAATTAATATAGGTAAATTGTGCCCTAATAGCCCGCGGCTGAGACGCTGCTTCCCGTCTCCCTCGAACTCTGTGCTTGGGTTT